AGTTGATAAATGTAGTCTGTAGAGTGTTCACAAGAAATTGTGGACGATGGACGAACGGCCGACGGACGGGGGCGACGGAAATATACGACCACATTTCCATGTGGGCGTATAAAAACACTGGTGCCCAATCCTAGTTATGACCTCCCCAACACCAACAGACATTATTTTTCAATACCGTAAGAGTATATAATATTGGGATAGTGATAAATGTACCTTTGACTTAATGCAATATGATTTGATTCAGTTATAACAAAAATCGTTGTACTGCAGTCAATATTTTATATTTTATTGCCACCAATCTGTCTGAAAATGGGCAACAGCTTGTCTATAGAGATTGACAGATAGTGACTTTTTGGCGCCAGTGCAGAAGTCTCACGAGATTATCGCCCAGCCACATTAGATTGCGAGGTTGACTTTGGTGACGTGTGCAAGTGGAAGACTACATTAATTCATTTGTAATTTAACGAAGATACGTTATACCTGGGATGTGATTTACCGATTTCCAAATGTATAATTACCTGGGACGTGATTTACTGATTTTTTATGTATTTGTCAATGGTGGAATTACTATTTTTAATGGATAATGGATAATAATAATACAATACGTATTAACGATACGGCAAACCGATACACGATACGTATCGCGATATGATGAAATCGCGAAATTATGCCCAAAATAATCTCAAACTACATTCTGTTTCAAGATGTTTGAGATGGGTAAGCATCAGGGTTCTTAATCCATTTTGAAATTAACCGGCCGGAATTGGGTCAATTGAGGACCCGTAGGATATGGGTTAATTATAAGCTCCATTCCCTTTAATATAACTAGACTTCAACAAAAATAATTCTTGGTAACTTGTTGTGGAGAATGTGGTATTTTAATGTATGTGATTACTACAAAAATAACGACGGATACACCTTTTGAAAATTTTCCATATTTAATTCACGTAAAATCTTGAAGTTCACGTCCGGTCTGTAATATTCCAGAATAAATTAATTACTGTCTTCGTTTATTCAATGAAAATATTAGCATTTTTCAACTATTGCCAGTATCAGAAAATGCCATAGCTAAAATAAGCTGATACGGCACCATGGCATTTCTTCATAACACAATTTGTAGTCTTTGTCTATCAGGTAACTATAGTCACTTAACTTGGCAAAATTTTTTATTCATTCGTCAATTGATAGACACACAGCACAATTGTCATGTGACAACCATACTTGAAATTGATGATATAGCCTTCAATAAAGATAGGTTGCCAGGCAACGAAACATACGCCCACAGCAGCTAAATCGTCCGGGCAGTCAACAAGAGTTGTCGCATATTTTTTCTTTTTTCGATAATGTAACATTTATAATACACTAAAATCTGATTAAGAGCAACAACTCAGAAAACTATTAGAATTTGTTTGGTTTTTATAAAGTTCTGCCCCATGCTAACGTTTTGTATACAAAACTTTTAATACTGTATCATGTATTTAGCTGTTCCAAGTCATAAAAATTCATTGAAAATCAATATACTTGTTCGTCTCAAGATCTTAAACTCTGTGTATCAATCTGAAGTCAATCGGATATTAACTTTGGCCTCTAGAGCGTCCACAAGATTTTTCAAAGTGATCAAGGGCCATAACTTAGGTAGTAATTATCAGAAATCTTTGAAAATCAATAGGATTATTCGTCTCATGACCTTAAACACTATGTATAAATTTAAAGTTACTCGGATATTAACTTTGGCCTCTAGAGCGTCCACAAGATTTTTTGAAGTGATCAAGGGCCATAACTCTGGCAGTAATTATCGGAAATCGCTGAAAATCAATAGGCTTCTTCGTCTCATGACCTTAAACACTGTGTATAAATTTAAAGTCAATCGGATATTAACTTTGGCCTCTAGAGCGTCCACAAGATTTTTTGAAGTGATCAAGGGCCATAACTCTGGCAGTAATTATCGGAAATCGCTGAAAATCAATAGGCTTCTTCGTCTCATGGCCTTAAACACTGTATATAAATTTAAAGTCAATCGGATATTAACTTTAGCCTCTAGAGCGTCCACAAGCAATTGTGGACGCCGGACCGACGGACGGACAGGGGCGACGACAATATACGACCACATTTCAATGTGGGCGTATAAAAACAATATTTTAAAAATTAAGCCTTTGTCAGAATGTGTATAAAATAATAAAAAAAAAATCATAACGGTAAGCGCTATTTAGGACTGGTTTATTGACCTAATTCCAAGAGATATGTCACGTGTCATTGGAATTCTATCAGGAAAATATCCGGTGCTCTGTCAGGGGATTATATTCAATGAAGATTTAAATTTACCTAACAACTGGTCAGTGAATCCATCAATGTATGATCCAGTTAATATTTTAATATGTACCTGTACCTGGAATTCACACGATTGGCAAACCATGCCAAGATCGTCTTCTTTTGCCACTTGGGTTTCGTGGTCTTTCTTAACTGAAGAATTTTTTCAACGATACAGCTATATTACTTATCGATATAAATATTGCTGGAACGTATCGATACATATCGGTGTATCGACACAGCCCTACTTCGACCACAGTAAGGTGAGCGACTATGGGTGTGCATTTTTTTTTTATATTCACCTTTTTTATTCGTACTTCATATGTAGATAATCATAATCAAAATGAATATGCCCAATCGGACATCAAGACATGGTGAATAATATTCAAAATTCCGAAATTAATATAGTTTACTGAGTGTATAACTACCACTCAACCAGATTATAGTCGATAATACACTGAATTAGTAGGTAATTAAGTGATCAACGTATTTATCGTGTTATACGATCTATAAACCTACCTTGATTAACTACTTAATCTGCCTTGATTGACTGACTTAATCCTTTGTCGGACAATTCATCAATCTAATCTTAAACAGAAGCCATTGTTTCCCCTTTGTCGGACTATTCATCAATCCATTATAATTTTAATCTTCGTGTTAACCTCGTGGTTTCTGCATTGTCGGACATTTTAATCGCATTGATGTGAGCCGACAATATGTATAAACTAGTCATAGAAGTCACATATTGTAAGAGTATATAACGCCAAGATCAATAGACAGTCATTATAATTCGTCTGCGATATCACTTCGGTGGAAGCGAGCATTAAATAAAGATTTCACACACACACACATATCCCAAAAATACAAGACATTGCTAGCACGCGGTTTACAGCACTCGGAAAACCTGGCAGATTCCGTTACTCTACATCTAGCTTCGGCTGTATGACGGAAAGTGATATGTACTTACGAACTTGCCGGTTTTAGAAAGAAGTTATCAAAATTGCGTCGTTCGAAGCGTGTTTAGAATTTTCAGAGCAAAGTTGTCCTTGTTTGAAGAAAATCTGATTAGGTACATATCACTTACCATCATACAGCCGAGGCTAGATGTAGAGTAACAGAATCTGCCGAGGTTTGCCGAGTGCTGAACCGGTATTAGAAATCTCGGATTTATGATCATATCTTGAATGGGGTTTATGTTTTTAAATAAAGAAATAAGTAATCTAGGCAATGTTGACGAATATGTCGATTGGAATAGTGTAAGTACTTAATTGTTTTAGACGATAGCGCATGCTAGAGTAGAATGCGATTATTTAGCGGATGGTGTCATTCCTCGTTGTGGTATAGCGACGTTTATTGCCCAAAAAATTTCGGGACATCATATTCTTATCCTATGTAATAAGTCGTGACGGAGTATAAGACGAATGCCGGACTTCAGCTGAAAAATGTAGCGACTTATGACCCGAAAATGAGGTAATTTTGGGGGAATTTGAAACAGTACAGATCGGCAGTAGTCGGCACGCTTCCATTCTATCGTATTACGAATTTTGTAGGAATATTACTGACATAAATTTGTATACCGTACGGGAATTAAATATGAAAAATAACGAGGTGCATCTATTTTTATATTACGGACGAATTTGAATTTTTTGTTTACACGTGATTTTTGTGTGTGGTCTAAAAACTGCCATCTTAAATAACAATAAGAGTTATGTCCCTTTATTTTCGGTAAAAATGTCCGACAAGAAAATTTTTGAAATCCCATCACTGCTGCAGACACAAGAACAATAACGTTGTCCAATCAGAGGTTGTGATACAAACACATATCCAAATACAAACATTGTGATCTCCACCAAAAAATGAACTGATAAGTTTACAGCCGTTAAAAGTTGTTTTGTTTTTATTTTTCAGTTCAAAAACTCACAGAAAAGCAATTGAAACTGTTTTAGAGACTAGAGAAGTATTTATTTGCAAGAAAATTGGCAGTGGCAAGTCTCTTTGTTTTGGAAATTTCCTGCAACCATGACATTGAACGAACCTTGAACTTTGCAACTCGATTATCACAGGTAGATATTTCAGTTGGAAAGCGCGAGACTTGGTATTCGCGGTGATATTTTCTATCGAGGAATATGAGAGGTCTAGAGCTGGGTCCTAGACCAATCGAAATTAGTGACGAAAAATGTAGATTGTAGAGTGTTACGTGAAGGCCTTGATAAGATGTACGGAGTTAAAGCGAGATCAAGCCTTCTATTGAAGATGTATAGATAGATTACATGAAAAGATAGCTTTTTTTTTTTTTACAGTTCTCAGACTAGTCCATGACCCCACAAAAAGTGCTCGCGACGCAGAAGTCGGGAAACGCCGGTCTAATAAGTAAACACGGTAGATAAGTGAACAGGTCCATTTCTAAACCTGTCTCGAAGAAATTAAACGGTTTACCATTAAATTAAACCATAGTACTAACTAAACCATTTTTGTAATTTTCAAATGATTTTTATCAATTATCAAATGATGTTTTGAAAGTAAACTATATGCATACTTTCTAGCGCTAAAAACCACGTTTTAAACGACATCAGTCTTACAGTGTCCAGACCTCTGGTAATAACATATATAAGCCTACCTAAATCCAAGAAGAATTTACATCTTATTAAAAATTGATACATAAATCAAATATAAAACCATAATAGAATATCTACCATGTAATAAGGGGCACATCCTTTCAAAAACAGTAGCTGGTCCCATGGCAGCAAACTGTCCTAAAGCCAGTTCCATAAACATCAAAGGTAAGCCAACAAGTAACAACATAAGTATAAAGGGGAACACAAAAGCTCCTGAAAAACAAAATAGAAAATTTTGTACAATTCTGTTACTGTTGAAATAGTTAAGTTTATGGTATGTGTTGTTGGAATTGTTATTGTTTTTGTTGTATTATGTTATGTGATGTTCAATAATTTGTTATTGCAGTTATTACATGTTTCAGACCATCGATCGAAACATGTATTGTTTTTATAAATGATTTTTATTAAGCTTTCATATTTCATATGAAAGCTTATTGTTGTTAAAATTATTAAGCTTTCATATTTCATATGAAATCTTATTGTTTCTGTTAAGATTAACATTATTATTATTAATAATAATAATAATAATAATAATAATTATTTAACGCCAATTACATCAACATAGATCTTAATAGGCGGTACAACATAAAATGAAAAACAATAAAATATCACAGAGCATCATGAAAATAAGATGTATGTAAATAACAGAACATTTATGACAAAAGTAGATCCATAATTAAAGATAGGTTACCAGGCAACAAAACATACGCCCACAGCAACTAAATCGTCTGAGCGGTCGAAAAGGGTTGTCGCATATATATTCCTTTGTAGGTAATAATCAGATCAGATTATAAATTTTGTCGTTTGAGGGTTTACAAGGTTCTACAAACTGAAACAAGGGTCTCAACTCTGGAAGTAATCTACAGAAATTGTTGAATTTGACATGCTTTTTCGTTTTACTAATTTAAATAATGCATATAAATTTCATACAGGTCAAATGATCACTTTTGTCATTGAAACGTTCACAATCGCCATAACTCTAGAAATTATTGACGGAAATTGCTGAAATTCAATAGACCTGTTTCACAAATTTAAATGATGCATATAAATTTCATACATATCGGATGATAACTGTTGTCATTAGAGTGTTCACAAGATTTAACAAAGTGAAACAAGGGCAATAACTCTAGAAGTAATTATTGTAAATTGCTGAAATACTATAGGCTTTTCCTTTCACTAATTTAAATCATGCCTATAAATTTCACAAAGATCGGGTGGTAACTTTTGGTGTTAGAGCGTTCACAAGGATCAATACAGTGAAACAAGGGCCATAACTCTAGACGTAATAAACGGAAATTGCTGAAATTCAATAGGCTTCTTCGTCTTACTAATTTAAATAATGCATATAATTTTCAGAAAGATCGAATGATAACTTTTGACGTTGGAGCGTTCACAAGGACCAATAAATAAAGTGAAACAAGGGCCATAACTCTAGACATAATAAACGGAAATTGCTGAAATTCAATAGGCTTCTTCGTTTCAATAATTTAAATAATGCATATAAATATCAGAAAGATTGGATGATAACTTTTGATGTTAGAGCGTTCACAAGGGCCAATAAAGTGAAACAAGAGCCATAACACTAGACATAATAAACGGAAATTGCTGAAATTCAATAGGCATTATCGTTTCAATAATCTAAATAATGCATATAAATATCAGAAAGATCGGATGATAAATTTTGACGTTAGAGCGTTCACAAGGTTGAATAAAGTGAAACAAGGGCCATAACTCTAGATGTAGTAAACAGAAATTGCTGAAATTCAATAGGCTTCTTCGTTTCACTAATTTAAATAATGCATAAGAATTTCAGAAAGATCGGATGATAACTTTTGGAGTTAGAGCGTTCACAAAGTTCAATAAAGTGAAACAAGGGCCATAACTCTAGACATAATAAACAGAAATTATTGAAATTCAATAGGCTTCTTCACTAATGTAAACAACATACATCAATTTTAAAACAATTGGAAGATAACTTTTGGCGTTAGAGCGTTCACAAGAAATTGTGAACGATGGACGGACGGACCGACAGACGGGCAGACGGGGGCAACGGCAATATATGTCCACATTTCAATGTGGGTGAATAAAAAGAAATAAATTCAGAAAAGAGTCTAAGAACAAAATCAAAAATTAAAGATAGGTTGCCAGGCAACAAAACATACGCCCACAGCAGCTAAATCGTCCGAGCAGTCGTCAAGGGTTGTCGCATATTTATTCCTTTGTACGTAATTGGGGGCCTTTACAAGACAGTTCAATACAGATCAGATTATAAATTTTGTCGTTTGAGGGTTTACAAGGTTCTACAAACTGAAACAAGGGTCTCAACTCTGGAAGTAATCTACAGAAATTGTTCAAATTTGACAGGCTTTTTCGTTTTACAAATTTAAATAATGCATATAAATTTCATACAGATCACATGATCACTTTTGTCATTCAAACGTTCACAATCGCCATAACTCTAGAAATTATTGACGGAAATTGCTGATATTCAATAGACCTGTTTCATAAATTTAAATGATGCATATAAATTTTATACATATCGGATGATAACTATCATCAATCGAGCATTATCAAGGTTAAACAAAGTGAAACAAGGGCAATAACTCTAGAAGTAATTAATGTAAATTGCTGAAATTCAATAGGCTTTTTTGTTTCACTAATTTAAATCATGCATATAAATTTCACAAAGATCGGGTGATAACTTTTTGCGTTAGAGCGTTCACAAGGTTCAATAAAGTGAAACAAGGGCCATAACTCTAGACGTAATAAACGGAAATTGCTGAAATTCAATAGGCTTCTCCGTTTCACTAATCTAAATAATGCATATAAATTTCACAAAGATCGGATGATAACTTTCGGCGTTGTAGCGTTCACAAGGATCAATAAAGTGAAACAAGGACCATAACTCTAGACGTAATAAACGGAAATTGCTGAAATTCAATAGGCTTCTTCGTTTCACTAACCTAAATAATGCATATAAATTTCAGAAAGATTGGATGATAACTTTTGACGTTGGAGCGTTCACAAGGTTCAACAAGCCAACAGTGAGGCTGATGTCCCCCGCCGAAATAGGAAAATAATTAGAGAGTTATTGTGTTCCAAAGTCTCAGCAAATCAAATTGCTTATCGCTCTGCTTAATCTGAGCAGAAAATGCTCATTATCGATCTTAGTCAAGGTATTACTGTAATGAAACTATACACCAAGTTTCATCACTCTCACTTAATTAGAACTAAAGTTATAGTGTCCCAAAGCATCAACCAATCAAATTGTTTATCTCTGCTTACCCTAAGCGGAACGGACAGACAAACAGACAGACGGACGAACCCATTTTAATAGTTCCCTGCTTTCTTCGAAAGGCGGGGGACAATAAGCATGAACATTTACTCAATTCGAAGATCAACCAATCAAATTGTTTATCTCTGCTTACCATAAGCGGAACGGACAGACAGACAAACAGACAGACGGACGAACCCATTTTAATAGTTCCCTGCTTTCTTCGAAAGGCGGGGGACAATCAAAGTAGGAGAGTTATTGTTTTCCAAAGTCTCGACCAATCAAATTGCGTATCGCTCTGCTTACCCTGAGCAGAAAATGCTCATTATCAAACTTAGTCAAGGTATTACTGTAATGAAACTATACACCAAGTTTCATCAATCTCACTTAATTAGAACTAAAGTTATCGTGTCCCAAAGCATTAACCAATCAAATTGCTTATCTCTGCTTACCCTAAGCTGAAAATGCTCATCTTCGAACTCCATCAAGGCATTGACCTAATCAACACATACACCAAGTTTGAACATTCTAGCTCAATTAGGAAGAGAGTTATCGTGCCCCAAAGTATCAACCAATCAAATTGCTTATCTCTGCTTACCCTAAGCGGAAAATGCTCATCTTCGAACTCCATCAAGGCATTGACCTAATAAACACATACACCAAGTTTGAACATTCTAGCTCAATTAAAAGTTATCGTGTCCCAAAGCATCAACCAATCAAATTGCTTATCTCTGCTTACCCTAAGCGGAAAATGCTCATCTTCGAACTCCATCAAGGCATTGACCTAATCAACACATACACCAAGTTTGAACATTCTAGCCCAATTAGGAAGAGAGTTATCGTGTCCCAAAGCATCAACCAATCAAATTGCTTATCTCTGCTTACCCTAAGCGGAAAATGCTCATCTTCGAACTCCATCAAGGCATTGACCTAATAAACACATACACCAAGTTTGAACATTCTAGCTCAATTAGGAAGAGAGTTATTGTGTCCCAAAAAGTGTGACGGACAGACAGACGGACATACAGAAGGACAGACAGACGGACAGACAGACAGACAGACAGACAGACAGACGGACGAACCCATTTTAATAGTCCCCTGCTTTCTTCGAAAGGCGGGGGACAATAAAGTGAAACAAGGGCCATAACTCTAGACATAATAAACGGAAATTGCTGAAATTCAATAGGCTTCTTCGTTTCACCAGCTTAAATAATGCATGTAAATTTCACAAAGATCGAACGATAACTTTTGGCGTTGGAGCAATCACAAGGTTCAATAAAGTGAAACAAGGGCCATAACTCTAGACGTAATAAACAGAAATTGTTGAAATTCAATAAGCTTCTTCGTTTCAGTAATCTAAATAATGCATATAAAATTCAGAAAGATCGGATGATAACTTTTGGCGTTAGAGCGTTCACAAGGTTCAACAAAGTGAAACAAGGGCCATAACTCTAGACATAATAAACGGAAATTGTTGAAGTTAAATAGGCTTCTTCATCTCACTAATGTAAACAACATATATCAATTTTAAAACAATTGGATGATAACTTTTGGCGTTAGAGCGTTCACAAAAAATGGTGGACGACGGGCGGACGGACGGCAATATACGTCCACATTTCAAAGGGTGGGAGTGATGTGTGATGATTTCTTAATGCGACAGACAAGGCGTGCAGCAGAGTTTTGAAGACATTGGATACGCTTGATTAGTAGTCAATCTAAGAAGTAAGCTGTTACAGTAGTCTAAACGAGAAGTGATAAAAGCGTGGACTAGTAGTTTTTCAGTATTGGTGCGGTCTAGGATATATCTAATTCGGCCTATTCGATACAAAGCAAAACTTCCAGATTTGCATACAGAATTAATATGTGACGACAATGAGCATACGTTGTCAAGATTAAAACCAAGATTTCTAACACTATTTACAGGATGTACAAATTCACT